CCTCTTGGAGGCTCAAGAGAAGCCTCTCAGCCTCAGGAGGCTGAAAAACTGCCTTCCGGAAATACTGAAAGTGCCTGTTTTCAGCCTCCAGAGGGCCTCTGGAACCAGGAGGAGGCCGTTTTCGCCCTCCCAGAGGCTGAAAACGGCCCCATTTTGGCACTTCTGGTATTTCCGGAAGGCCCGTTTTTCGGCCTCCTGAGGCTGCAGAGGCTTCTCTCGAGCCTCTGGGAGGGCGAAAATGGCCTCAAACAGGCCAAAAATCACCTGTGAGGTGCGTGCATGCGCAGTGCAGGTAAGTTTGGCTGAGGCTCACGTGCCTGCACAAATGGCTCTGCCTGCCACCTGTGGCATGCTTGCCATAGGTTTGCCATCACGGGTATGTTATTTTTTATCAATATAGGTAGTCCTCAATTTACAACAGTTCATTTAGTGATCAAAGTTACAACTGCACTGAAAAAAGTGAGATATTTTTCACTTACGACTATTGCAGAATTTCCACGGTCATATGTTCAAAATTCAGACACTTGGCAAGTGACTCATATTTATGATGTTACAGTGTCCTGGGATCACATGGTCACCTTTTGAGAACCTTCCCACAAGTAAAGTCAATGGAGAAGCCAGATTCACTTAACAACTGTGTCAGTAATTTAACAACTGCACTGATTCACTTAACAAGTGTGGCAGGAAAGGTCGTAAAATAGGGCAAAATTCACTTAACTAATGATCATTTAGCAACAAAAAATTTGGGCTCTATTGTAAGCCCAAAGGACTACCTGTATTTATTCTATTAAAAATTGGCACGTTTGCTTCTAAAACCGCTTCTCATGATTTTTTGATGAGATTTTTAATATTGTGTTTTTTCAACAGACTGAACTGATTAATTTTGATTTTGCAGATCCCTTTAAGTGTCTTGGGAAAAACCCAGGGGTCCTTGGACCATGCTTTGAAAAATACTCATTAATCAATGGTGGTTAAATACAACACCTATTTAGAATAGAATAGAATAGAATAGAATAGAATAGAATAGAATAGAATAGAATAGAATAGAATAAAATAGAATAGAATAGAATGGAATGGAATGGAATAGACTAGAATTCTTTATTGGCCAAGTGTGATTGGACACACAAGGAATTTGTTTTGGTGCAAATACTCTCAGTATACATAAAAGAAAAGATACACTCATCGAGAATCATAAGGTACAACACTTAATAATAGTCATAGGGCTGTGATTGCAAACCTATGGCATGCATGCCATAGGTGCACGCAGAGCCATTTGTGCAGGCACGCAAGGCCCAGGCAAACTTACCTCACTGCGCATGCGTGCGCATCCCAGCTGATTGTCGGCTCGTTTGAGGCCTTTTTCGGCCTGCCAGAAGCTTGAGGGAAGCCTCTGCAGGCCGAAAAATAGGCCCGTTTTGTCCCTTCTGGTATTTCTGGAAATATAGGAAGTGATGAAACGGGCCTATTTTCCTGCCTGCAAAGGATGCAGAGGCTTCCCTCAAGCCTCTGGCAGGACAAAAAAGGCCTCAAACGGGCCAAAAATCAGCTGGGAGGCGCAGTGCAGGTAAGGGGTGGGGGGAATCATGTGTGCATGTGCAGGAGGGGGGCATGCATATTGCCTTCTGGGTGTGCGTGTGCAATTTTTGGCACAGGAGCCCAAAAAGGTTAGCTACCACTGTCATAGGGTACAATAAGCAATCAAATCATATTAGGAAACAATCAATAAAAATAGTAAGGACACAAGCAACAAAGTTACAACCATAGTCATAAGTGTGAGATGGGTGAAAGGAAGGATGGGAGGATTAAGGGTAATAGTAATGCAGAGTTAATAGTTTGGCAGTGTTGAGGGAATTATTTGTTTACAGAGTGATGGCATTCGTGGAAAAAACTGTCCTTGTGTCTAGTTGTTCTGGTGTGCAGTGCTCTATAGCGTCATTTTGAGGGTAGGAGTTGAAACAGTTTTATGTCCAGGATGTGAGGGGTCATTTCCCAGAAAGAAGAAAGAATGAAACAGTGGGCATGGAGTTGATATACTCTTTTTAAAAATCAAAATGTTATTCCAAGCATGAGGTGTCTTCAGAATACCAACTTTCCCCCCCTATTATATGTTTACATTATAAGAGCAAAATCTTTGGACAAAGTAAGACAAACTAGTTTGTCCCCTTTTGAAACAAAAATGTTATGGTGAATATGATGAAACTTGATGAGATGCCCAAACTGACAACTTTGATCAAAGACATGAAGTACATTTTGTGCTGACTGGAAATCCTTATAGACATTTTGAACAAAACGGGAAAAAAGTGAAATTATGATATATATCTTGATGATTAGAAAAAAAATATGATTATAGAAAAAAATGTAAGTTATACTATAACCATAGAGGCTAATTTACATGTATACTTATAATGGCTGTAAATAAAATCAGAATTGTCTTTATATTTTCTTTTTTTATGCACTTTTATCTTTGTCTTCTTTCTTTTCCTTATTCTAAATATTTTAAACCCCACCTTTTATTATTTTACAGGTGACAAAAGACGGAGAGCATATAGTATTCCTTCCTCCTCCTATTTAAAATAAAAAAAAATTAAACTATTAAATTGAAATAGTTTTTTAAAAAAATTAAAAATAAAAATACATACATTCTAAATATTTGCTTGTTATTTTTTAATCTTAAGAAATCAATAAAGTTATTAAAACTTTAGTAAAAGTGTTTTTCTGTATTCAAGGAAAAAATGTTCAAATTAAATAGTTAAATAGTTCGGAGGTGGGGGGGAAATAAAAGTTCCAGGGGGTTGTAAGGCTAGGATAGGCTCCAGCAGAAGAAAGGTCGGGGCCAAACGTGCAATGATGCGGCCTCCAGCGTTCCGCATCTGCCCGGACCTCTGGAAGCCGAGCGCTCGCCAGGAGGAGGCGCCCGGCCTGGAGGCGGCGGCAGCAGCAGCAGCGCCGGCCCTCCGATTCCTCCCAGCCTGCCCGACCTTCTCTCCGCCCTGCGCAGTTTCCTCAGTTCAGGCCGCGATGGCGCTGCACGGCGTGCGGGTGCTGGAGATGGCTGGCTTGGCGCCGGCGCCTCTCTGCGGCCTAATTCTGGCCGACTTCGGGGCGCAGGTGGTGCGGGTGGACCGCTGGCCCCGCACGCCCTTCAACCCGGACGTGCAAGGCCGCGGCAAGCGCTCCGTCGCGCTGAATCTGAAGCAGCCCCAGGGCACCGCCACGCTACGTAGGATGGCCCAGCAAGCGGACGTCCTGGTGGATCCCTTCCGACCAGGTGCTTCTTCGCCAGGCGGGGAGCCGGGAGGTGGGCGGCTTTCCGGACCGAAGGAGGGAGAAAGCAGTGCTCCTGGGATTTCAGAGCTCTCTCTTCAGTGTGGTCTGTGCAGGCGATCCATGCAAGTGCAGAGACCTTGCATGAATTCTGCTCTTTCAATCGGAGTGCGGTTGGAAGGGATCTTGGAGGTCTTCTAGTCCAGCCCCCCTGCTCAAGCAGGAGGCCCTATACAATTTGAGACAGGTAGCTGCCCAGTCTCTTCTTAAAAACGTCCAGTGATGAAGCACCCAGTGATGAAGCTGAGCCGTTCTACTGACCCAAAGGCTTTTTTCAACAGGCAACTGGCCTTGCTTGTTTTTCTTTGAAGACGGTTCGTTTCTCATCCAGCCCAGACTTGAAGGAGCTTCTTGGATGAGAAGTGAAACACCTTCAAAGAAAGGCCAGTTGCCTCCCGAAAAAGCATCTTTTGGGACAACCATGACCTGGATGACTGAGAATCTCCATAGACATCAAGCTGTTCCATTGGTTGATTGTTCTCACTGTTAGGAAATGTCACCTTAATTCCAGATTGTTTCCCTGGATTGATTACTTTCCATCCATTGTTTCTTGTCCTGCCTTCTGGTGCTTTGGAAAATAAGTTGATCCCCCTCCTCTTTGTGGCAGCCCCTCAAATACTGGCATACTGTTATTCTGTCACCCCTAGTCTCTAGACTAGCCATATCCAGTTCCTGTAAACGTTCTTCATATATTTTAGTCCCCAGGCTTTTAATCATCCCAGTTGCTCTTTGCACTTTTCCCAAAGCCTCAACATCTTTTTGGTAATGTAGTGACTAAAACTGGGTGCTGTATTCCAGATGTGGTGTTACCAAGATTTTATAAAGCAGTACTAATACTTATATGACTTTGATTCTTCGCCTCTGTTTATACAAGCAATGATTATACTTAAACGATCTTGCAATGTCTGTTCTCACTAGGCCCTGAGATTACAGCACCCACATACGAAGGGGGCTGGTTCTTGCTGCCCTTGGGACTTGTTTTGCTTGTTTTCTTGCCAATGTTTCATCACTAGGCTAGATAACAGCAGTGTGAGGGAGGAGGAGGTTTGCTGGCTGTGTAATCATAATTTCTCCTGCCAGCCTTGATGTGGGGGCATAGCTTCTTTCTGCCCTGCCTCAAGACTTGACAGGACAGGCTATTAGATAAAGAACTGCAAAGCTCACCTTTTCCTGCAAATATGATGTTGTTTACCTACCTGGGTAAGGAAACATCAACAGGAAAACAACCAAGCTCAGACACCTTTCAATCCCCAGCTACAGATATCGTCTTCTACAAATTACAGGTAGTCCTCATCTTACGAGCACAATTGAGCCCCATATTTCTGTTGTTAAGTGAAGCATTTATTAAGTGAGTTTTGCCCCATTTTCATGACTTTTTGGGTCACGGTGGTTAAGTGAGTCACTGCATTGGTCAGTTTAGTCGCATGGTTGTTAAGTGAATCTGGCTTCCCCATTGATTTTGCTTGTCAGAAGGTCGCGAAAGGTGATCACATGACCCTGGGGACACAGCAATGGTCATAACTGTGAACCAGTTGCCAAGCATCTGAATTTTGATCATATGATCACGGGGATACTGGAAAGGTTGTAACTGGGAAAAATGGTCATAAGCAGAGATGGTATTCAGCCGGTTCTGACCAGTTCTGGAGAACCAGTAGTGGACATTTTGAGTAGTTTGGAATCCCACCTCTGACTGGCCCTGCCCCCATCTACTCTCTGCCTCCCGAGTCCCAGCTGATCAGCTAGGTCTTCTTTGGTTGCCCTGCCCAGGAGAATGGAGCTGGAAAGCAGGTTAGTGGAGTGGGGAGAGAATGGGGATTTTACAGTATCCTTCCCCTGCCACGCCCACCAAGCTACGCCCACAGAACCAGTACTAAATTTTTTTGAATCCCACCACTGGTTATAAGTCACGTTTTTCAGTGCCGCGGTAACTTTGAACGGTTACGAAACAAACTGCTGTAAGTTGAGGAGTACCTGTACTTTGGGTATTAACTACTGATGGTGGAGAACCAGTTTGGTCTTGTGGCTAAAGCTCTAGGCTAGAAACCAGGAGAGTGTGAGTTCCAGTCCTGCCTTAGGCATCAAAGCCGGCCTGGTGACTCAGAGTCAGTCATTCTCCTTCAGTCCATGATGTAAGGCTTGGGTAACAAGATGCATGCCTCGATGTGAGTGATATTGAGTTGGCCACACCCAGCCAATAACATGATCACCAAGCCATGTCCACCTAGTCATATGACCACCAAGCCACGCCTACCACCTAAGCTACGCCCACAGAACCGGTTGTTAAAAATTTGAATCCCACCCCTGGGTTAATGTCATTGCCCAGAAGATCATTGGTTGCCCTCTCCCCTCTTTGGAAGAGCTTTATAGCTCCTGCTGCCTTAAGACAGTTCAAAACATTCTCAAAGATCCATCTCATCCTGGGTACCTTTTTTTGTTTTTGAACAATTACCATCTGGTAGACGGTACAGGATAATAAAAACAAGGACAAATAGGCTGAAAAACAGCTTCTATCCCAGGGCAGTAGCTCTGTTGAATTCTACTGTATTGTGCAATATTAATTCAATATCAGGGGTTTTCAATTCAATGTATAGAATGTGAAGGTTGTGTGTTCGTGTTTATTTTCATAGTCATGATGTGCACTGAAGATGTTGTTTGATCTCATTGTGCAATGAGAATAAAGCAAATTAAACTAATCTAATTTTTAGTTCTTACAGAAGTTAGATATTTTATTTTCCTGTTCAGGTGCCATGGAAAAACTTGGTCTCAGTCCTGATATCCTCCTTCAGGATAATCCCAGGCTCATCTATGCCAGGTTGACAGGATTTGGCCAATCAGGAAAATATGTCAAATTGGCAGGCCATGATATCAACTATCTGGCAGTGTCAGGTATGTGATTGTATAATCTCCATTATAGAAATTTTCTAAAATAATATCGAAAATGTACAGAGTTACAGTTAACATAGTTAAAAATAAGATGAAGGTTTTGTTTTTGTTTGTATATGTTTTTAAGCCAGTGAATAATTGAAGCTCATGAATACGTCCCTGATTGCGACTCATTAATTTAAACTTGTTAATTTGAAGATGAGAGGCCTGCAATTTTTGGAATTCCCCAGCCAACATTCTGGATTACACAGTCCAGAGTATATTTAGGATGATTAACAAATATTTCATTTGCTCTTGCAAAACATTGAACCATGGAGCAAAGTCCAGAGCTCAATTCGACACAGCAAAACTAAAGCAATTTATTCATTCATTGCAGGTATATCCTATCTTTCTTTCATGAGTTTGTGGCTGTTTACGTGGGAATCTCCAAAATATCCCTATAAGAGCATCCCATGAATTAGACTGGCCTGAAAAAAAGTAGGAGTAATTTCCCCAAAGTCACCCAAATATTTTCTAAAACGGGAAACGGTCTTGTACCAAGGCCCAGTCCAACCCCTTAATCACTATTATACTGTAGGTTGACATGAGGTTTTCTCGAAATGGCTTACATTTTGTCCTTGGCTAAATCAGTGTTTTTCAAAATTTTAACTTTAAGATAAGTGGACTTCAGTCTCAGCATTCCTTAACCAACGTGCTGGATTACACTATCCAAAGATTGAAGAAGCATGAAAAAGGAATTGCAAATAAATCTCCTTGATTTTGTTCAGTAAAAGGTGGGACAGAGAGAGGTCCTCAGGCTTTCAAGATTCTGATATTATACTGTACAACAATAAATAGCATTATTAGAACCCTGTGAGTGTACTGTTCTCTGTGAACATATATCTAAATTTAAAAGACAGTAGGTTGGATTGCAATGGATTTCATAATTGGAAGTACCATTTACATTTTTAAAGGATAAAGAAAAAGACACTAAACTGCCTGGGCACTTTTTTAAAAAAAGATTTTTTCTTGTATATAGGTGTGTTGTCTAAACTTGGCCGAAAAAATGAAAATCCTTATGCTCCAGGCAATCTTCTGGCTGATTTTGCTGGTGGAGGAGTCATGTGTGCAATGGGTATCATCATGGCCTTGTATGAACGTACAAAATCTAGAAAAGGGCAGGTCATTGATGCTAGCATGGTAAGTGTCTGTCTGTCTATATCTTATCTATCTATCTATCTATCTATCTATCTATCTATCTATCTATCTATCTATCTATCTATCTATCTATCTATCTATGAAGAACAAAGGAAACTGTATTAGGAAACTGACCTCCTCAGTCCTAAAGACTTTTCCTGATCCACATTCCATTTGAGCCTTATTTTGTGTGACGTTTATTTCTTTGTTTATATCCCGTCTTTATTATTTTTACAAATTCAGGCAGCCTACATATTCAGCCTTTCTCCTTGTAGTTCTCTCTTGAATTCCTGGTGAGCCTTTGCAAGCTGTAGTTGATAGAAATGGAAGTATGGCTTCCCCTGGCAAAGGGCAAGTTGTCTCTAGGTGTCTGCTTTGGTACTTAAGTATGAGTGAGCTTGTTCACTTTTTCTTGAAAAATTACTGTATTAACATGTATTAGTATAGGCACAACATCTGTCATGCCCTTGGTAGAGTCAGACCCTGAGGGAGAGGAGGAACAGCCGACAGGGAGTGGAGGTGTGGCTCCGGAGGTTGTGGAGGAGGCTGGGGAAGGGCAGAGGCCCGCTGGGCAGTCAGAGGAAGAACAAGGCCACTCCTCTCTTCATCCTAGGACACGCAGGGAGGAACGGAGAAGGAAACAACTTGGCTTACGAGAGAGGAAGCGGCCATGATCCCCCTCATTGGTTGCAGCTGGGGAGAATAGTATATAAGAGAGACGGTTACAACATAGTGTTGCCAACACAGAAGCAAAATGTGTTTTATTTTGGGGTGAAGTTATCTTGGTTGGCATCCTTCCAACAGACTGCCTTGTTATCTCCTTGAATTTGGTAATTACTTATTCTGGTCCGTTGTGGAAATTTCGTCATTGTACTTTGTTTTGGGTTTTTTATTTCACCTCTATCTGCTCATTAAGTTCGGACTGTATTGCTTTCTTTTGAAGACTATTTTTGAGTATGTTTTATTTCCAACTGAGAATTATTGAACAGTGGGGCCAAGTTGGAGGCATTAAAGGACATTTATTTACATTTTGGATTTGTTACGTTTGTCTTACACTCCGGGTCATCACAATATCTGTACAGGTAGTCCTTGACTTACAACAGTTCATTTAGTGACCATTCAATGTTACAACAGTACTGAAAAAGTTGACTTATGACTATTTTTCACACTTACCCTGGCAGCACCCCCAGGGTCATATGATCAATATTCAGATGCTTGGCCAATGGTTCATATTTATGACCAGGGTCTTGTGATCAATTTTTGCAAAATTCTGACAAGCAAAGTCAATGGGGAAGCCAGATTCACTTTACAATCAGGTTACTTGTTTAACAACTGCAGTGATTCAATTCACAACTGTGGCAAGAAAAATAATCAAATGGGGCAAAACTCACTTAACAAATGTCTCATTTAGCAACAGTGTCTCATTTATGTCTCATTTAGCCAGCAGTGTGCAGCTGCCGCCAAAAAAGCCAACACAATCCTAAGTTGCATTAACAGAGGGATACAATCAAGATCAAGTGAGGTACTAATACCACTCTATAAAGCCTTAGTAAGACCACACCTAGAGTACTGCATCCAGTTTTGGTCACCACACTATAAAAATATGTTGAGACTCTAGAAAAAGTACAGAGAAGAGCAACCAGGATGATTAGGGGACTGGAGACTAAAACCTATGAAGAACGGTTACAGGAACTGGGCTTGGCTAGTCTAGTGAAGAGAAGGACCAGGAGAGACATGATAGCAGTCTTCCAATATTTGAGGGACTGCCACAGAGAGGAGGGGGTCAAGCTATTTTCCATAGCACCCGAAGGCCAGACAAGGAATAATGGATGGAAACTGAACAAGGAGAGATTTAACTTGGAAATAAGGAGAAACTTTCTGACAGTGAGAACAATCAACCAATGGAACAGCTTGCCCTCGGAAGTTGTGGGAGCACCATCACTTGAGACTTTCAAGAAGAGATTGGACTGCCATTTGTCAGAAATGGTGTACGGTCTCCCGCTTGGGCGGGGGGTTGGACTAGATGACCTATAAGATCCCTTCCAACTCTGATTATCTGTTAACATAAATTTTGTGCTCAATTGTGTTCGTAAGTCGAAGAGTACCTGTACTGGGAATCTTCAGTTACAGAATTTTCTAACTGTTATAGTGTTTTAATGACAATTTATTGTGTTCCTTTAACAAAAGAGAGTTTGTATATATTTTGTCCTTAGCTTTTGTTACTCAACAAGGCAATTACTCTCAGAATACAGGCAATAAAAAGACTGTCTCAAGGGCAGGATATTGGCCACGGAAGGATACAAAGAGAACTAAAGAATAGAAGGGCAGTAATTGAGGGGTGGGTGGGTGGGAAATCCATTGGAGATAAATGTGAAAAAAATTATACACCACAGTTATACATTTCGCTGTTAGGATTTCAGGAAAGCATTAGGGAAACAGGATGATTCAAGATGGCCACTATGACATCATGGCCATCATCTGGAAGTTTTTGAGCTTCTCCATGATGATGAGGGCATTTACTTCATCTTCAAGAAAGAACATCTAGTACAAGAGTGTCAAACTTGATTTCATAGAGGGCCGCATCAGAGTTGTGTTTGACCTTGGGGGAAGCTGAGTATGTGTGTGTGGCCAGCTCAACGTCACTCGTGTCAGGGACACCTGTGGCGGCCTGAGTGCTCTGCCAATGAAAATGGGCTCCCAAGCTCCGTTTTTGTCTGCAACGGCCTCCTGCAACCCTCTTCCAGTGAAAATGGATCTCGCAAGCAGCCCTCCCAAACTCCATTTTCACTGGCAGAGGCACCATGGGCCGGTCCTTCACCGTTTCCAGGTTGGCTTCACAGGCCAGGTCTAAGCAACCTGAGGACTGGATCCAGCCTCCGGGCCTTGAGTTTGATACCCCTGATCTAGTAGAACAGTACAATATATTCCTAGTGGCATTATCTTTGCATAGGATGTTACACAATGGTTTCTGTATTTCTCTTTAAGGTAGAAGGTGTAGCATATCTAAGTTCCTTTCTGTGGAAATCTCAAAACTTGGACTTCTGGAAGAGAGGACGCGGGGAGAACCTGTTGGATAGTGGAGCCCCTTTTTATGAAATATACAAGACCTCGGATGGGAAATTTATGGCAGTTGGTGCACTGGAACCACAATTTTATGAGCAGTTCATCAGAGGTAAGTTAATCTGTACCATTTAATCAGTTTAAAAACCACCAAAGACTTTGGACTGATGCCACATGTATCTAAAATATGTTAATAATGTTTGTACAGTTATTAGCAACTCTTTCCATAGTAGAGTGTAGAGCAAATGTCTCATTTTATCAATAGAGAAACTTCGAACTGGGAATCGGTGAGCTTATTGTTACCATACAAGTTGCTTCTGATGGGGGTTTTAGAAGTTGTTTTATTTGCTGAACTGAGTTACTGGGTTTTCCCAGTAACTTTATTTTTCTGTATAAGAAGAAATATCTGGGTTCAGTTCCAAGTGGGGAAAAAGACACTGGAAACATGGAGGCTGCCTGAAAAGATGGTTAAATGGTGGACAGGACCACATGGCTTGGAGCTCCAAAGAAGGAAGGGTCACATGCTTCAAGATGAAAGAAAAGAAGGAAGGGCTGAGAAGCTGAAAGTGCCTGGATTTTATACCCTCTGTTGGGATTTGCATTTGAGCTTGTATTCTGATTGGTTGTCAGACTCCCATGGGGCCACGCAGGGGCAACTCTAGGCTGTCCTGGGTTGCAGGCTTGGTTGAGCCTTGCTGGATGATGTAATGAAAGGACTTTGGGAAATTCCTATAGCTCTACCTGGAGATCTTTGTTATGTAAAATATTCTGGCCCAGGCCTTAATGGCCCACCCATTAACAAAGGTGGGTGTGAGCTTCTGCTTCTGAGTTTCTATTTCTCTTTTTAGGGGAAATATTCTGCCTTTTTAATATTTCCTAGGATGTTTCATTTTTCTAGGAGAGGGGTGGGTGCTAACTTCCTACATAATGAACATGCTTTATCTTACCTTTCCGATTGCATTGTTCAAAAATAAATTTTGGGCCACCCTTGGCTGTAAAAAAAAAATCTAGAAAACAAGATAACAGATAAATAGAGGATAACTGTATTACAAGGAGTGCAACATGAAACATCAGAGAAATTATTTGCTTGTAAATAGAAATTGTTTTAGAAAGCTATAAACATATTAAATATGCTCAGAACCTTGTTACACACACTTGGGTTGTTGTTTTTTTTAGTATGGTAACTTTTATGCCAATGGATTATTCTGTATCTGCATGGAAGGTAACCTCTTTTTAAAGGCATTGCTCCCTTTAGAAATTGCCTTGCTAAATAAAAAGCAATTTGCAAATAAATGAGCATGCATATGCATTTATTTACTGTTCTTTAGGCAGCTAGGCTTCAGAACAACAAAAGCTGACATTTTTCATTTTTCTTTCAAATCCTAATATGTCAAGTCCCTTTTTTGTTCTTTTCTTGAAAACAGTTCAGTGAATTAGTTTGAAAGAACAAAGCTATGTAGTGCATATTACGGTAATTCATTTTCTGGGAATGCAGAAGAAATTAAGCAAGCTACAGAGAAATATAAAACAATGACCAAAATTCCAGGTGCCAAAGGCAGATTAATGCTAGAACAGCACTCATTCTGTCTCTTCTTTCACTTCTACAGTCAGGTGGGGTTGTCTATTGTTCTGGAGAGCCCCAGAGAATCTATTCTGGGATCTTGTAGCTTCTGTGAAAACATTAAACAAAAAAAGAAGGTATTTGATTCATACTTGACTGCCTGGTGACTTCCTGGTACCTTAATGCAATTTTCTCAGCATGTTAGGGAAATTGTTTTTCAATTTTAGTTTCCAGGTTTGATGCTCCCATCAAACTTCTCACCAGGCCAAAGCTACTTACTTTCCAAAGCAGCCTTGTAATTGCCACCAGCTAAGGTGGAATCATTTTAGAGCAGAAGAATTGTTTCTCATGGACATACAGTGGGGTCTCTTTGACAAGGAGCTATTGGGTTTCACTGGGTCCAGCTATCAGTGGGAAATTACTTTTATTGTACAGATAACAGATAACAGATAATCTTCAAAGAAAAACAAGAAAGTTCAATTTTTCAAGAGGCAATTGGAGTTTCTTGTTTTTCTTTGAAGACATTTCGTCTTTTTCAAAAGCACCTTTGGAATAACCTGGAATTACTTTGTTGAGCCATCAGTTTTGTATCAGATTAATAACATCTGCACCATGACCAAGTAGGCAGATTTTGTGCATTAGCAGGCATTGACATTTATGGGAAAACATGCATTTTGTAACTCCCCCCCCACCCCATATTCCTAGTCTACCTTTTAAAATAGGCTTCCCTTATATTTCTCGTTGCTCCCAATATACATTATTTGCTCAGAACGGCTTGCTCGCCAACACTCATTTCATTCAATCGGCCTATATGTTTCTTTTTAATATCTCCAGGTTTGGGACTGGATCTTCAGAAACTTCCCAGTCAGATGAGTTTCTCAGACTGGCCTGAAATGAAGAAGATATTTACAGATGTATTTAAGAAAAAATCCCAAGCGGAATGGTGTGAGATCTTTGATGATGTGGATGCTTGTGTGACCCCAGTGTTGACTTTTGATGAAGCTGCCTCTCATCCCCATAATGAACAGCGGGGATCTTTTCTTAAAAATGATCAGGAGGAGATAAGTCCAAGACCATCTCCCCTTTTGTCCAGAACTCCAGCTACACCTTCATTCAAGAGAGATCCTTTGATAGGAGAACACACCGAGGAAGTTCTCCTGGAGTATGGTTTTTCCAAAAAAGAGATTTTACAGCTCCATTCGCTCCAAGTAATTGAATTAAATAACCTTAAAGCAAACTTATAATATGAAAGCCTGCAAATCAAGAGTTTGTCTTGGGCAAATCGTTTTTGTTTTTACTGTAGCAAGATAGGTCCAATTTCATTGAAATCTTCAGAATTTGCATTCATTGTTTGCTATGCATTCTAAACAACCCTTTTAAAATGAATTTCTACAAATAATTGGTGGTTTTATTCTTTAATTACTGAAAGATGGTGCTAATAAAATGCCTATTGTTGTGGCAATGAGCAATAAATCTAAGGGATTACAGAGGATCTAACTGGCCAGCAGGGATCAGTGGGTTTCTAGCTAGCAGGATCTAAGAGTGTTGAAAATGATTGAAACAGCTCTTATATAGGGCTCCTTGAGGAAATAGTCCTTGGAAAGACAGGAAGTTTGTAAATCAAAGCCAGTTGCAGCTCAGGAAGTTTATTTGAAAGAGATTTGCTCCCAGTTTAATTTATTTTAACTCTTCCCTAAGGTTAAACAAGAATAGACTTTGTGCATCTGCAGAACAAACAGGTTTAGTGTTCCATTATGGCTGACCTTATATCAAATAGAGAGAAGAGAGAAATAATTCAGGGTCTCAACTTATACAAGTGACTGAAATAATGCAAATAAACATGTAAAAATATAACCCTTACATAGACTATAAATTGTCACATAAAAGGTTCAACTTTGCCTCTAGAATCCTATCATCTTTTAATTTTCCCGAAAACAAATGAAATATTTACTGGGAGGCGGTATTGTGATAATACGATAACCATTGTCCAGTCGTGGCAAGCAAGAGATGTTGGCGGAGGGTGGAGCTTTGCTTTAGACAAACCTATATCAGCATCAAAGGCAAGAAAGAGTTGAGAATAAAAATTGAGGTTTTTTTGGACTTCCGGTTTGAAGGGCTTCGGCGACAGGCAGGAATCCGCGATCGTGCACGGTTTCTGTCTGGGCTCGCCGCTGGAGCGCCCTGAGCCGGCTGGTTTCAGAGCTAAGCCACCCCGTAGAGGTGGTGAAGAGGGGGGAGACTGCCAGCAGGGTCGAGGAGAGCCGCATCTCTCCTCCTCAGCTGGCCATTACTCCCTTTCCCAAAGGCAGTAGGAGCGGTGGTCAGAAATGGCCACCTCAAAGAAGAACTCAACCGGAAAAGAACGTGCAGGAGGAAGATGAGAAGTGAAAGTTTTTGCTGACCAGGTTAAGTTGAAAAAGCAACAACTAAGGTACCCTGGAATTTAAATTTTACAAAAAATAACATCGCTCCCAAAGAAGAGTTGGAAGCAGCGAAAGAAAGTGAAAAGGGAAAGGTTTGGCTTTTTTTTTCTTCTCTCTCCTTCCTTACATTGACAACTAAGAGACCTAAATAAGAAATCGGAAAAATCCACTTTGGCATCAATAGGCAATTAAGCTGAAAATATAACTAAATGCCAAAGGGACAATAAAGATTTCTGGACATTAAAAACTTTTTCTTCTATAAGCAGGAAGGGAGAGAAAAAGAATAAGGGTAGGATCTGGAAGAGGGAGGAGACTGCCTGGACTTCAAAAGAATCTAAAGTAAAATTTCAATAAGACTTCTAAAAGATACATTTTAACTGAAACTTTGCAACTAAATAGTAACCCCAGGAAGAGAAAGTGAAAAAAAAAAGAAAGTGTAAAAAGAAACAGCTTGTGTGTATTTGGATTGCTTGGTGACTTTTGGATTTTTGGTTATTATATTTGAATGACTAAAACCAATTGGGTGGTTGTTTAAAATTTTTACAATGGCATCACTTCTGGATGAATTGAAAATTGAACTTAAAAAGTACAAAGAAGATGCACAAGAAGGGAAGGGCTCTTTTGGCTTCGTTTTTCAATTCTTAGAAATGGGAGATCTGGAACTATTAGAAACAACAAGAAAAGACTGTAAAACAAGAAGACTGGGACAAAGAAGAAGCCATCTTTAATGAACAAGTAACTCTATGTGGGGAAGAAAAAGGAAAGGGGAGAAAGAGAATGGAGAATTTAAGACTTAAAAAAACAACCAAAGAAAAGAAAAATAATTTGAAAAATAAGTATAATGCTGGAAAGCAACAGAAAAGGGGAATACAGAAGAGGGAAATAGAGGTAGAGAGACAAAGGGGTAAAAAGGGGAGAGAGAAGAAGAGAGGGAAGAAGGAAAGGAAAAGAAGTTACAAAGGTCCAGAGCAAGATATAAAGAAACAGGACCTATTTAGAGATAATGGGTGAAAATCTAACTGAAAAAGGGATTCTGTAAAGGTACATAAGATTGTATTGTTATATTTGTAATAGAAATAACTTTAGAAAATTGGAAACAACATATGATTAAAATGAGGGATAAAATAGTGTAATTTAGTGAAATGTTTGTGAATAAAATAAATGAAATAAATGAGAAAATTGAATTAGGAAGGAACGGGAACATTTTAATTAGTCAATGTTTTATAAAATATAAGTAAATGGGGGGGGGGGGGATTAACTATGGAAAGTCTATAATTGTTCCCATAGAAGTATGATATTGAATTGAAAAGTAACGTGAAAAATGTTAAGATTTTAATGAATATTAATATTAATGATAGAGTCAAATTGGAATGGAAAGTTGTTTTAATTATATTATACATTTATAATTTTTTCTTTTTTCAAGAATACAGTGTGTAGTTTAAGAATGTACCAAGCAGAATCCGAATGGAAGTTAAGTATTATATTGAGTGTTATAATTTTAGGGGAAAGATATAAAGGCGTCATACTCCAATCAGTGATTACAGGAGAAATTTTGTTTAATGAGAAAAGATAATAGACAATTGAAACAGGACAGACAAAAAATATAAATATAATGATTTGAATTGAGATGAAATAAATAAAATAAAATTGAGAAAATTAAAAGAGGGGAGAAGCTATGTAGAAAATGTAAAATAGTAATACAATATGGAATAGAATATAAAAATGAGCATGAACCTGAATTTGCATCTGTACAAAGAAATTTAACCCGGGATTATGCTGCTTTCAAAAAAGATGTTTTACTTGTATTTCTTTTCTTTTTGTGAAAACTCAAATAAAACTTACAAAAAAAAAAATTGAGGTTTTTTTCGGCCCACCTGTCAATAACCAGTATTTGAATCAGAGAGCTCTTATGCATAAGGGCAGCCTTTGGATGGCTTATTCAGTGTTGGCTTTGCTCTTACAAGGACTCCTTGACTTCTGACCGATCCGATTTACAACAGACACTCTGCCCCTCCCCCAAAAAACCCCATTTATGGCATAGTTTCAAAGTTCCTGATGTTCAAATTCCAGTTTCACAGTTCCTGATAATTCCAGTTACCCAATGAAACATTTAGAATTTATAACTTCATACAATATTAAACTACAGTTTATAATAGACACACGGACAACAGCAGACACAGAGAATGCTGCTGCAAAAATGTATGTTGTACATTAAAGGTAAATGTTCCTCTCGCACATACGTGCTAGTTGTTTCTGGCTCTAGAGGGCAGTGCTCCTCTCCGTTTCTAAGCCGAAGAGCCAGCGCTGTCCTAAGACGTCTCCGTGATCACGTGGCCAGCATGACTAAATGCTGAAGTTGCACTTAACACTGTTACTTTCCCACCAAAGTGGTTCCTATTTTTCTACTTGCATTTTTACATGTTTTCGAACTGCTAGGTTGGCAGAAGCTGGGACCAGTAACGGGAGCTCACTCCATTATGCGGCGCTAGGGATTCGAACCACCGGACTGCCGACTTTTCTAATCGACAAGCTCAGTGTCTTAGTCACTGAGCCACCGCGTCCCTTGATATTGTACATTACAAAAATGTAAATTGTATTCTTCATAATTTATTAAGCTACAGAAAAGGTGCATACAAGAATGGAGAAAGTTTTAAAACGATTTTCCAGCCTGGCAAGAAAAGGGCAAAGGCAGGTACACAGTATGTAAAAAAGAATAGAAAACCTTATTTATTTAAAAGTCTCTTTCTTTTATTTAGAGAGAAGGTAGTTTAGCCAAGGTAACTCCTTCTGCCTCTCTTCTTTGCTTTCTTTTTAACTCTTTCATTTGGTTCTTCCAATTAAGTTAGACAGTGTATTCCCCCCCCCCCCCACAAAGCAAACCCACACCTTTTGATGTTTTTTTCAGCAATCCGATTTCTCAGAAAAGGAATAAAAAGATTTTAAAAAGAAATAGAAAGTTATAACTCTGCAAAGTGATGCACATTATTGTTTTATTGTTCTAGGAATGGGTTGCAGCTAATAAGTTTTCAATAAGTTTTAAAGCAGAGAGTCAGCTCTGGAGAAGGCCATAAAATTGGGAAAGATGAAAGAGAAGAAAAGGATGACCAGCAGCAAAGTGGATGGACTCAGTAACAGATTAACAGAGTTGGAAGGGATCTTGTAGGACATCTAGCACAATTCCCCCACCCAAGCAGGAGACCCTACACCATTTCTGACAGATGGCAGTCCAGTCTTTTCGTGAAAGCTTCCAATGATGAAGCTCCCACAGTTTCTGAAGGCAACTTCTGTTCCACTGGTTGATCACTCACTGTCAGAAAATTTCCCCTTATTTCCAGGTTGAATCTCTCCTTGATCAGTTTCCATCCATTATTCTTTGTCTGGCCTTCAGGTGCTTTGGAAAACAGGTTGACCCCCTCTTCTCTGGGACAGCCCCTCCAATATTGTAACACTGCTATCATGTCTCCCCTGTTCCTTCTCTTCACTAGACCAGCCATGGTCAGTGGTGATGGACCAAGTAAGAGACAGATTGCGATGGAGAAAAACCATCTGTGTGGTTACTAAAAGTTGACATCCACCTGGCACACAATCAAGTTTTAAAATCCAGAGAGAACATTTATGTTTTAAAAGTCTTAGTTTGCTGCTGGGGCACATCTTGAGGCTAAGTGCCATATCCAAAGAAATGGAATTAAAGAAAGAATCTCTGGTGTATAAATGGTGTGGCGGGTTAAGAAGACAAGACAGCAAATTGGTTTCAGAGAAAGAGGAGAGCTGAAAGAAACATTCAGAGAGTTATCCCAGAGTTATGTGGCTGGGAGAGAAAGACTGTGCATTCACATACTGACCGTCTTCACATAATGTGTCTGAAATTGATTTTCATGCTGGGTTTTCACTCACTGCTTGGCTGAGTCACTTTTTTTTTCTTTTTCAAAAGCCATCATTCTGCTTCAGTTATCTGCTGGATGTAGTTTAGTATTTTGAAAGGGAAAAGAGTAAGCATCAGCATTCCCATCAGATTAGGGCAGTCCATAAATATGGTAAGTAATTAAGTTGCATGGTCCCAGGAGTAGGCATGTTTAATTTAAGGAATTGCCAGCTGATACTATATATCAGGGGTGTCAAACTCGCATCGTCACGTGTCGTATTGTGACTTCCCCCCCCTTTGCTAAACTGGGTGTGGGTGTGGCCAGTGTGTGATGCATCTGGCCTGCGGGCCATGAGTTTGACACCCCTGCTATATATGTTCTCTGGACCCAAAGCATTGCAGACTCCTGTGATGTTGCCCTTTAAAAATATGTCCCCTAATATGTGTGTGGGTTTACTCAGTGAAAAATTCTTTTGATTGACAATCTGGAAATTAAAAAGCACATAATTAAAAATGAAAAATAAACGATGTTCAAACCTGCATCAATGTTGGTAAAATGAGGACCCAGATTGTTGGGGGGCAATAGGCTGATTCTGTAAACCAGGGGTCCCCAACCACCAGTCCCCAGACCGGTACCGGTCCGTGGATCAGTTTTACCGGGCCGCAAAGCTTGGGCGCCGCCATCTTGTTTCGACGGCGCTTCTGGGTTTTTGGTTGCTTCCGGGTTTTCGGTTGGAAAGCGGCGTTTGGGTGCTTGCGCCTTAGTTTCGTCGAGGGTGGGGCAGCTTCGAATGAAGAGCCGTCCCGATGGCGGTGGAGTCTCGCGTTACTCAGGTACCGCTCCGTGGAAGAATAAATAATCGTGAAACCGGTCCCTGGTTCAAAAAAGGTTGGGGGCCACTGCTGTAAACTACTTAGAGAGGGCTGTAAAGCACTGTAAAGCAGAATATAAGTCTAAGTGCTATTGCTATCGGCCACCGCATTTTCATTGTGGCTGCCACACAGGTGATCATTTCATATCTGAGACATGAAAATCACACAATGACCACTTCTTCCTGGGAATTGATGCAAATATAACCGATGCAGGTAGGACTATTCTGAATAGCAACACAACACAGTCAAACTTTTCCTTTCAACCTCAATCTACACGGCTTGGAATATCTACCCTGTAAAAGTACAGGGGGAAGGATGTGGCTGGCCCAGAAAAATGCCCTTTTCATCCTAGGAAAGAAAAGCATATTTAAATATTTCTGCAGGCTTCCAAATGTCCTTTGTTAACCCAAGTTCTGTTGCTCTGTGACGAGCTATTTATTTCATCTTGATGCTCACTATTGTTTAATCTTTGAGAAAATATTTGTTTGACCTTTTTCACATCCCAGAGATATTAAAAATGTGTCTGACATCTTGCTTTTTTTCTGATGTAGCTTTCCACTTTGAAGAATAATTATCTACAAAAACTAAAATCTGGGTAGAAAAAACCCCCACAAAGACAGTAGCCAACCATTCAGCCTCCAAGACTGCACCGCGATTGTGGGCAGCCCTGTCTCTAATTTGAGAAGTTTTAAATTCTTCAGGACATTCTCCGAAGTAATTGTGCACACAATTCCAGTCTTACATCAGCAAAGCATCTTGCAGCCCTTGTATTGATGCAACCTTTATAGAGCAGTTTGATACTCAGTTGAGAAGCTGAGGTTTCCCTGAGGTGACATTGAGTTTTTAGAATAGAGATTTGGCTAAATAATTGCTAAATAATTGGTAGGTCATTTAGATTCATGTCCAATGCTAACAGCCTTGGATTTTGGTCTTTTCCCTATTCTAGATAAAGTTTCTAGCTTAGATTCCTGTTGTTTTGATGATTTGTACTGCACTTCTTTTCAAATCTTTGTGATGGTTAAACAAGAACAAATCACACAAACTTGGATTATCATAGGTCCAAATAGATGTAATATAACCAGGGGTGGGCTGCTGGAAGAGCCCCTAGCTAAGGCTCTGTGAGGCTCGGAGAGCTCCCAATAACATCAGAAAGACAAGTAGCAAGGGAAAGCTCTTAATAAGCTTAATTGAACTTCTGGGCGTTCAGCCAAGAGCATTTCACACCTTGTAAAAGTGTTGCAAGCTAGATAAACAATCCATTCAGCGCTTGTGAGGGAGAGCCATTGAGAAAATCAAATAATATAGCCACAAGAAACTCCCTGCTCTGCCTCCGAGGGGATTAATTCCCAAAGAATAAGAATCACGTAACTCCACTAAGACTCCAAAATCCCTCTCACAGTCACTGCTATTAAGCCTGGTTTCACCCAGTCTTTTATTTAAGTATTAAATGTACGAAATAATAAACAACTTTTTGGTATATATCTTGTTTTAGGTAATTAGGGCAAAGAAGCAACATTGAGTTGGCCACACCCACTCAGTCACATGACCACCTAGCCACACCCACCCAATCACATGCCCACCCGATCACATGACCACCTAGTCATGCCCACCCAGCCACATGCCCACCCAGCCATGCCCACCCAGCCAGTCATTAGGGGAGAGAGCCCCTCGCTAAAAAAATTTGAAGCACACCCCTGGATATAACTGTAAACTGAATGAAACTTTCTCTTCCTCTCCATCCAAGCAAAGAACCCCAAACATTCATAGACCATGACAACACAAGGAAGGAAAACCTGAGCATTAAAACCTAGGATGTGTTGCCCACTTGAATACTAGTAGATCTCATGCTATGTTTTTTTTTTTTTCTCCAGGAAGCACTTTGTTCACTATCTGAAATAAGATATTTCTTCTTTTTCCTGCTGACACCATTGGCACATTAACACCCTGAATGCTTGCAGTACAAGAAGAAACAACTTAGGAAACTCGCCTATGCCATAAATATACACATGCCTTGAAAAGAACTTTGAAGCCTGCCCTATGTAGACATGTGATCCACTCGGACATAATCCTCCAGTGATAAAGAGCTGGGCACTTTCCAGCCAGGAGCACTAACTGTGCTAATCTGCTTTCAGAGACGCAGGCGAATTTCCCCTTCCACTCCCCCCTCTCTGTAACTTGTGATTCCAGAGCCATGGGAAATATGCACGGCCCCTCTGGGTCTTTCCTTCGCTACGCCCTGACCCAGAATTGATGCCTGGTGGAACAGCCTCCTGGTTACCAGCTCCATGACTCTAACCCAGCAAGATCATAGCCGAGCTTCTGCAGTCCTGAGATAATTGGGCATTGCCAGAATGGGACCCCTCAGCCGGAAAGAAGAAATCGTGTTTAAGCCCTTCCTGGGGAGAGATCCTTTTAAGCCAGTGAAGCCCTCCAAGAAGGGAACCGGCCAGTTGATTATGCACAGCACGATCATGTTTGGCCGTGAGTTCTGCTACGCCGTCGAAGCTGCCTTTGTCACCCCCGTGTTGCTCACCGTGGGGCTCCCCAAAAGCCTTTATAGCTTCGTATGGCTGATCAGTCCCATCCTAGGATTTCTGCTGCAGCCGGTGGTGGGTTCGTTCAGCGACCGCTGCACTTCCAGGTGGGGCAAGAGGAGACCTTTTATCTTGATCCTTGGCCTTCTGATGCTCCTGGGTATGGCTTTGTACCTGAATGGGGATGCCGTCATCTCAGGTGAGTATACAACCTGTTGCTGAGTCGGGAAAAAGCAAACTGAGTGTTAAAAGAGAGAAATTGGAGATGGTGAACATTCTTGAAGTCGTTGCATCTGTTGGCGGTGCATCTGCAATAGATCAGTTGGCAGCGCTTGATGGCATAGACTTTGAATATAAAAACAAGAAAGAAACCTAGCTGAATCTCAGGCTGGAAAGGTTAGGTTTAAATTGTGCAGTTAGCTTGGCATGAATACTGTTAGGATTGTGAACGTGTTTTTAATATTGGTGTAGATAAATATGACTGACTCTTTGTTTCCACAGAACTTTTAGAACAAAGAAAAGGGGTTTACATCGAAAGGGTTAGGATTCATCTCAATCCAAGCCTCATATGCGGATTATGTAACTATTCTAACCTATATAAATTGGTTTAATGAATAAAAATTATGCAATTGTTACTTAATGGCTTCCAATGCACAGGCCTGGTATTAGCAGGAAAAAAACAACATAACACAACAGCCAGATTGTTTCATTACTTAAGGGTACAGGATGTTGCAAGTTTGTTAACTCAAATAATATTCAATATCCTGGAAAACTGGGTCAGTTTAGGTATTACAATGGAGAAAATAGCTAACACCCAAGAAGATAGGCTCAAAATCCAGATGGATCTTGACAGACAAGAACACTGGGCCATATCTAACAAAAAGAAATTAAATGTAGAGAAAAGTAAAGTCCTACACTTAGGCAAGAAAAACCAAAAGTACCCATACAGACTGGGTGAAACCAGGCTCAATAGCAGTAACTGTGAGAGGGATCTTGGAGTCTTAGTGGACAACCAGCTAAATATGAGCCAGCAGTGTGCAGCAGCAGCCAAAAAAGCTAATGCAATCCTAAATTGTATTAACAGAGGTACTAATACCACTCTATAAAGCCTTAGTAAGACCACACCTAGAGTACTGCATCCAGTTTTGGTCACCACATTATAAAAAAGATGTTGAGACTCTAGAAAAAGTGCAGAGAAGAGCAACCAGGATGATTAGGGGACTAGAGACTAAAACATATGAAGAATGGTTACAGGAACTGGGCTTGGCTAGTCTAGTAAAGAGAAGGACCAGGGGAGACATTATAGCGGTCTTCCAATATTTGAGGGGCTGCCACAGGGAGGAAGGGGTCAAGCTATTTTCTAAAGCACCTGTAGGCCAAACAAGGAATAATGGATGGAAATTGAACAAGGAGAGATTCAACCTGGAAATAAGGAGAAATTTTCTGACAGTAAGAACAATCAACCAGTTGAACAGCTTGCCCTCGGAAGTTGTGGGAGCGCCATCACTTGAGACTTTCAAGAAGAGACTGGACTGCCATTTGTCAGAAATGGTGTAGGGTCTTCCGCTTGGGTGGGGGGTTGGACTAGATGACCCACAAGGTCCCTTCCAACTCTGATTATCTGTTAAATCTGTTAAAACAGATACAATAGAAAGCTTATTGGCTATATTGTTGACCATTCATTCTCAATCTGATCCATGGGAGTCCTGCATATTTAAGCTGAGGAGGCAAAATACAAGTATAAATCATGGCTGCTATCTCTCAAGATGGCTCATTCTGGCATTTGGGCCCAGGATTTTGTGAGATGGCGGTGATTGGCTATTCAAAATCCTTTCGTTTTTTTCCCTTTAGATTTTCCTTTAATTTGGCCCCATTGTAGTCAACACAGGAGACTCACTGTCATGGACTGTGACTTATATAGTGGTCCCCTCAAAATAAATTTGATGACAGAATATTGGTCTGGATATAGGACAAGTGCAGGAACCAGCATAATTATTTTATATTATCCAGATAAAGAGCCTCCTCTTCAAAGTGTGTCATTTTCAGTTTTCAAATGATAATTACTTTGTGAAGTTCAGCATATATTTTATTATTATTATTTGACACAAAAAATGACAGTGTTCACAGCAAATGAGATAACTATGCTGGGTTTCGTATCAGAAATCACTAGTATCACTTCCCAAGTGTTTAGGACTGCATGATGTATTGAGCAGATCCCAGTAAGGTGGCCTTCTGCAGCTGACCAATGGTGATTTGGTCAGCGCCAATTGTTTTTAAGTGCTTGCCTAGGTCTTTAGGCACAGCACCCAGTGTGCCGAGTACCACTGGAACCACCTGCACTGGTTTATGCCGGAGTCTCTGCAGTTCGATTTTCAAGTTCTGATATCTGATGACTTTTTCAAGTTGTTTCTCGTCGATTCTGCTGTCACCAGGTATGGCAATGCCAATGATCCACATTTTTTTCTTCTCCACAATCGTGATATCCAGGGTATTGTGTTCCAAAACTTTGTCAGTCTGTATTCGGAAGTCCCACAGTAGTTTTGCGTGCTCATTTTCAACCACTTTTTCAGACTTATGATTCCACCAGTTCTTTGCTACAGGCAGGTGGTAGTTGAGACACAAGTTCCAATGGACCATCTGAGCGACTGTGTTGTGGCGTTGTTTGTAGTCAGTCTGAGCGATTGTCTTGCAACAGCTCAGTATGTGATCAATGGTTTCATCTGCTTCCTTGCAGAGTCTGCATTTGGAGTCATCAGCAGATTTTTCTATTCTGGCTTTGATTGCGGCCCAAGGGGATCCCTGCTCTAAGTTATCATTTCTATAGGATCCAATCTGGGTTGGTCACTGGGACCAGATATTTATTCTTCTGAGTTTTGGGGGTCATGCTGGAGCCCATTGTCAGGGAACTTCTCTCTAATAGAGTGTGTGCTTTGGGCTATTCTGTGTGTAGTATTTACATGGTGCCTGTTTTGTGTGGCTTTTTAGCTGTTGATTGAGGTGTTGATGGATGGTTATTAAGTTGTTGGCTGTTGTTTCCTTGTACTGCCAAGCCCTCACCTCCTAAGTACTTGATAACTTGGTGGTAAATCAGCACTGACTGATGAGGGGCCCATTTCCCAGGTTTCAATCACTTCCCTGACTGCGTTTGTACCTGCTCGTCCAACAATCTTAGTTGCTGCAGAATTGAATGTACGTCATTGTTCATTGCAATGTGAGGCCATCAATGTGTTCTGGTCTCCTTGTCTTACTGCTCGCTTCTGTTCTTGCAGTGTGGTAGTTCTTGTGGTCCATCTGTCCCACATGGTCACAGGGACAATCTGTGCAGGGGAATCCACTATCATTTCTATAGTTCATATCAGCTTTTTCCTTTATTTTTCCAAATGTTGTTATCTGAGCTTCTTCTACTATTCTATTATTATTTTGAGGTCTTCCATTTTCACATTTTTTCCTAAATAATTTCCAATTTTGCATCCCTGTATATTTTATTTCTGGTAATAAATCTCCTTTGATCTGCTAATTGATCAATGATATTTGAGTCTTGCTGAAGTACCAGCATAAAAACAAAAAACCTAAGGAATGTGTGAGTGTAGAATTCAAACTCTGATTTTATTTCTGATATTCATTATTACCGAGTTGTTTCCCTGTAAGTATTTATTTAATAATAATTGCATTAATTATTTATCTGTATACCTTTGTTCTTTCTTCCCATCTGGGTTTATCATCTCTGCCAACTTTGTTCTTTTTTCTTTTTCTTTTGCTTTGTGTTATTTTCTTCCATTAATGCTTTTGAACACTTTATAAAAGCTGCAGAAATCTTGGGAGTTGGGTGGACCATAAATAAATTATGATTGTTAAGAATAATGCCTTATCTGTTCTCTAGAAACTATAGGCAGTGTTTATGATGATGATCTCCCCTAATTTTATCCTTGCAATCGTTCTGTGAAAAAGCTGGGCTGAGCAAGTGTGATTGTCCCAGAGGTTTCTCGTGAGCAATTGGCTGAATGAGGACTTGAACCACAGTCCCCTTGATTCAGGTTCAATTCTTTAACCCAGCAGCCACCAACCTTTTGGTCAACAAAGACTAGTTCCATGGAAAAAGCTGGGGTTTTTTCCCCCACAGACTGGAGCGGGCATAATTTTGCATGCTGCCTGTATCCCACAGATGGGGCTTCGCTTGTTTGTGTGCCCCAGTTTCTGGCACTCTGTCACCCTGTGCCAGTTCATGGACCGGGGGTTGGGGACCCCTACTTTAACCGCTACACTAATTTTTGAATTAGTGGAATTAGTTGGAAGATAATGGACACTGCAAATGGAGCTGAGCTGGCCATCCTGGAGTGAGGAGGAGTGCCGGAGGAGTAGTACCTCCTTAAAAAACCTTGGTCCAGCTGGCTCGGCTGGTAGCACCTCGTAAGGGCCCCTTTCCAGGGTTACAGGAAAAGATGGTCAACAGTTTTTGAAGGCGGAAGAGGGCTTTATGCCCCAACAGCAGATAAAACATTAGAACCATCTTCTAATCAGGTCAGATCAGATGAGATCAGATAATCAGAGTTGGAAGAGACCTTGTAAGGTCATCTAGTCCAACCCCCCACCCAAGCGGGAAATCCTACACCATTTCTGAGAGATGGGAGTCCAATTTCTTCTTAAAAGCCTCCAGTGATGGCTCTCCCACAACTTCCAAAGGCAAGGTGTTCCATGGGTTGATTGTTCTCACAGTCAGAAAGTTTCTCCTTATTTCCAGGTTGAATCTCTCCTTCTTCAGTTTCCATCCATTGTTCCTTGTCTGGCCTTCAGGTGCTTTAGAAAATACCTTGACCCCTTCCTCTCTATGGCATCCCCTCAAATATTGGAAGACCGCTATCATGTCTCCCCTGGTCCTTCTCTTTACTAGACTAGCCAAGCCCAGTTCCTGCAACTGTTCGTTGTATGTTTTAGCCTCCAGTCCCCTAATCATCCTGGTTGCTCTTCTCTGTACTTTTTCTAGAGTCTCAACATATTTTTATAGTGTGGTGACCAAAACTGGATGTAGTACTCTAGGTGTGGTCTTACTAAGGCTTTATAGAGTGGTATTAGTACCTCACTTGATCTCGATTGTATCCCTCTGTTAATGCAACTTAGGATTGCATTAGCTTTTTTGGTTGCCGCCACACTTTTTTGGTTGTCCGGCCTACAGGTGCTTTAGATTGGGCACAGCTCCCCTAGTAACCACCTTGGTTAGCAACAGAAATTCTGGTCCCAGTTGTGGTTGAAAGTCGAAGTCTACCTATAAGGCTGTTAGTGTTCAAATAGAAACTCTACTAAAGGTATGCATGATTTAATCTAATAATGGTGCACCTTATTAAACATTACCTGTACCAGTAGAGTTACATGCATTTACATGTGTTTTCATGGTACATCCTCACCGGGTCAATTGAACCTCAGCAAGTTGGGGAAGGTTGGCATAAAAAAAATAACTGTCAACAAAGCCAGATGTTTTCTCTTACAGTTCTGGTTGTTGATCGAGGCACTTGGAAGACGTGGGCTATCATTATTACCATGCTGGGAGTCGTGTTGTTTGATTTTGCTGCTGATTTTATTGATGGTCCCATTAAGGCATATTTATTTGATGTCTGCACTCACCAGGACAAGCAAAAGGGGCTCCATTATCACGCGCTCCTGACAGGTAAACCCAAGATAATAGTTCCTCTTCTTTACTCCTCTGAAAATATGGCTGTTGGCTCCTTCCCACCCTTAAGGTCTGGGTTGCGCTGATCAGCTGATTCAGAGTATCACTGCAAGCCTTATTTAGAAACGTAATCTTGTAATCACTGGAGCTGGGGAAAGGGACGGAAATGTCTTCCAAAATGAACACTTGAACACCGATCTCACAACTCTTGAATAGTCTGGGGCCGTGATGGCGAATCTATGGCACATGTGTCAGAAGTGGCACGCAGAGCTATCTCTGCTGGCATGCGAGCTGTTGCCCCAGCTCAGTTCCACTGCACATGCACGCAGGCCTCCCACCAGCTAGCTGATTTTCAGATATCTGCCATGCATGCATGGGGGTGGGGTGCATGTGGGAGACACATGCGCATGTGCAGGGAGGTGGGGGATCCTGCGTGCATTGTGGAGTGGGGGAGCACAGGGGGGAGCGCATGCATTGCATTATGGGTGCAGGCGCACGACAACAAAAAGGTTAGCCATCACTGGTCTAGGGTAGTGACCTGGAGGGTCCTTTCTCTCTTGGCTTACTATAAGAGTTAGAAAAGATTCAACACTGAAGGTTTTAAATTTGGTTCTAAAATCAAAGTTATAGTCCTAGACTCTACAGCAGTGTTCGCCAACTGGTGGGCTAGGGACCACTGGTGGTCCATGAGAAAATTTTGGCGGTTCGCAGAGAAATGTCTCCCCCAAAGCACTCCCCCAAAGCAATTAATCCAGGTTGTGTGGAAATACAAAGCTGCGCTGCCCACATGGCCCGCCCATCTGCTGCCCCCCCTTCAGCCAAGCGCAAACCTTACCTTGAGAAGAGCCATGCGAGATGGAACTAGAAGGTAAGACCAATGGCAGGGGAAGGAAATCCACCCAGGGGTGTGTTAGGAATAACAAGGTTACCTAACGTAGTTTGGGTAAAATAATATATATAAACTATGGTAGTAAGTTTAAGTGTGTGTCACTTTAAACTGCAAAGCATGTAATTTTGGGTGCGGTTGTAAAACCGCCATAAGAGGGAGCAATAGAACCTGCTGGCTTGCTTGCTTGCTTGCTTGCTTGCTGGATTGATGGTTTGCTAACTGCGTGTTCCCTGCTGCTGAGTTTTTGAACGTCGAAGGAAGAAAGGAGGTTTGACTTCTTTATATCTCTACTGCGAGAAGATATATTACTGAACTGATATTTGTAAGTTTACTGACCTCTTTTTCGACACTGGACTTTGCAACTGAATAATCCCCGAACGGACTGAACTATTGAATGATTTATGGACTGTTTTGACTATGCTAAAACTCTTACTGGAATAAATTATTTAACTAGCACAGTGTATCTGTTTTACTGAGTGTAAGCTACAAAAACGTTTATCTCACATATTTGCCTGCCTGCCTGACTGCCGTGCACATTCTGCTAGGGTGTATCCCTAACAGGGTGGCTTGCTGACACTGGTGGAAAAGTTGGTCTCATATTCTAGAGCTGCAGTAGTCACAGGACTGGCCCTTTGGTCATCCCGGAGCAGCTTCTCCAGTCCATGGCAGGCCAGTGCACCCGAGTGGAGGAGCAGCTGCTCCGGGATGACCAAAGGGCCAGTCCTGTGATTACTGCAGCTCTGGAATATGGGACTGACTTTCCTACTGACGTCAGCAAACCACCGTGAGTCAAAATTCATATTAGTGGTCCGCGGGATTTAAAATTATGAGTTTGGTGGTCCCTGAGGTCCAAAAAGTTGGTGACCCCTGCTCTAGAGCATTCAACTTCACAGAATCAAGGAGAAGAGGTTTGTGTTACGTATTTAAGTCTCACTAAAAGTAAAGACTCTTATAAATCAGGTTCAACTGCTAAGGCCCCAACAGAAAAAAAACCCATTGCTTTCTTGAAAAAAAAAATCCAAATAGTTTGCTATTGCTTTTTCTATACATTTCCCTTTCAGTTTCTTACAAGATGGAAAATAACATGCCTGTATATGATCTGAAAAGGTTCCAAATTCATCACCCTGAAGCAAAGAACAGATTAGGCCATACTGTTGCCCCAGTGTTAAGCCAATAATTAAGATTTATTTCCATTTCACATTATGTGAATTTGACCTTTTGAGCAAATTACAAAATGTGTGTGTGCATTGCTAGCTCCTACAAAAACACAATGGCAGCAAATATTGTATTTTCCACTTCTGATGAAAGAAGCTTGAGTCATATGATGTTAGTGATGGTGGTTTCATTCCTTGAATGGCACTTGAATAACTGCAATAACTTCCTGACTATGGGGACATAAGAATATATTTTCATTCTTATTTTAGGCAAAGCTGTGAAAATTCATTTTTTAGTCCCAGAGAAAATCTTGTCATATCTACCTACCACCACTCCAGGTTCCAGCTCAGATTAGTTTAATTTGAAGTTACATTACATAGATTAACAAAGTTGGAAGGGACCTTGTAGGTCATCTCGTCCAACCGCACAAGCAGGAGACCCTACAGCAGGGGACTTCAAACTTGACAGCTTTAAGACTTGAGGACTTCAACTCCCAGAATTCCTCCTCCAATCATGTTAGCTCAGGAATTCTGGGAATTGAAGTCCACACATCTTAAACTTGCCAAGTTTGAAGACCCTTGCCCTATACCATCCTGGACAAATGGCAATCCAATCGCCCATTGAAAGCCTCCAGTGATGAAACTCCCACAACTTCTGAAGGCAAACTGTTCCATTGATTGTTTGTTCTCACTGTCAGAAAATTTCTCCTTACTTCTAGGGTTGAATCTCTCCTTGATCAGTTTCCATCCATTATATACATTTGCAGAAGCTGGATTTTGCTCATCAATGTGTTATAAAGTTTGGTTTCTTGAAACTACCAGTTGTCCTTATCACATTGATGCTACTTTTAGTTCCTTGGTATGCCAAATGACATTAGGTCAAATGACACTAGGTCAAGATCCACCAGTTAATATTTCTGCCCATTGGCAATTACCCATCATGGCAGGGAGTCAAACCAGGTTGGGGGCTAAGCCTTTGTAATGTAGGGTTTAGAATGCTGGACTAGGACTACAGAGATCCAGGTTCAAAAATCCAACCTCAGCCATAAAGTTGGTGACAATTGCTGTCTATTAGCTTGACTTTATATATATATATATATATATATTTATTTATTTATTTTATTTTTTATTTTTATTTATTTGATTTGCCAATTGTTTACAAGATAATAAGTATAAGTGTATACATAGTTGTGAATACATGAAATGGGTACATATAAGAAAAATAAAAGAAGAATAAGAGAAACAATAGGACAGGGATGGTAGGCACGTTGGTGCGCTTATGCACGCCCCCTACATATATCATAAAAGCGTGTGGTATAGTGGTTAAGAATGGAGAGTTCTAGTCCTGCCTTAGGGACAAAGCCAGCTCCTTCAGTCAGTTTCACCCTCAGCCCTAGGAAAGAGGCAATGCAGAGGTGGTATTCAGCAGGTTCTGACCAGTGCTGGAGAACTGGTAGAGGACATTTTGAGTAGTTTGGAGAACTGGCAAATACTACCTCTGACTGGCCCCACCCCCATCTATTCTCTGCCTCCTGAGTCCCAGCTGATCGGCTGTGTCTTCTTTTGTTGCCCTGCACAGGAGAATGGAGCTGGAAAGTAGGTTAGTGCGGTGGGGAAGGAATGGGAATTTTGCAGTAACTTTCCCCTAGGAGTGAGGGGGAGGAATGGAGATTTTGCAGTATCCTTCCCCTGCCACACCCACCAAGCCATGCCCGCCATACCATGCCACAGCCACCAAGCCACGCCCACAGAACCGGTAGTAAAAATTTTTTGAATCCCACCACTGAGGCAATGGCAAATTTCTGGAAAGATCTTGCCAAGAAAAGTGAAGGGACTTGTCCAGGAAGTCACTGGAAGTCAATGCTGACTCAAAAAACATAAACATAACTTAAAACAGGTTGTCCCCAACCTTTTTGGTTGTCAGGGTTCGACCGATGACGTAATTCCATGGACTGGCGGTGGTGGCTTCAGCAGTTTCAGTGGTGAGGGAGGGAACAGTTTCGCGTATGCAACCTAAATCCTGCGCATGCGCAAAGGAAGCCTCATGTGCTTACTTGCTGTTTCGGTAGCCAGGTTCCCAATTGTTTAAGGTAAGGGTCCCTGGGAGTTGCAAAGAAAAACTTCCAAATGGCCTCAATGACTCTCAGAAAGACTGCTAACGACCAGATGACTGCAAGGAATATAAATCCTTCCACCCTCCACCATTCACTCACACTTGAAGAAACTTTTTGGATGAGAAGGGAAACAACCGCATCCAGTTTTGGTTGCCACAATGTTAAAAAAACATGTTGAGATTCTAGAGAGAGTGCAGAGGAGACCAACACAAATGATTAAGGGACTGGAGGCTAAAACATTTAAGGAACGGTTGCAGGAATTGGATATGGCTGGTTTAGTGAAAAGAAGGACTAGGGATGACATTGTAGCAGTCTTCCAATATCTCAGGGACTGCCACAAAGAAGAGGGAGTCAGCCTATTCTCCAAAGCATCAGAAGGCAAGACAAGAAGCAATGGGTGGAATATAATCAAGGAGAGAAGCAACCTAGAACTAAGGAGAAATGTCCTGAGAGGTAGAACGATTAATCAGTGGAACAACTTGCCTCCAGAGGTTGCAAATGCTCCAACATTGGAAGTTTTAAAGAAGAGATTGGATAATCATTTGTCTGAAATGGTGTAGGATTTCCTGCCTGAGAAGGGGGTTGGACTAGAAGACCTCCAAGGTCCCTTCCAACTCTGCTATTCTATTCTATTCTATTCTATTCTATTCTATTCTATTCTATTCTATTCT